CTAGTCAATAACTCTCATCTCCGTGTTTATTCCTTCTTGGCACTTTCCACAACTTGTAATGATCCCCACATATCTCTTCTTTTTTCTACAGACTGTCTATAAACTGCATGAGAGCAGGCACTCTGCGGCCTTGTCTCCCTAGAGATTTCCACAGTGGCCAGGACACAAGATGTGTGAAATCAATATAGAATACTTTCCCAAATAGCATGAACTTATTCTAATTCCTCTAGTTACAAGTCAAACGTCTTTGCCACAAAAAAGTGGTTGTAAATCACTGATATTTTCAAAAGGCAATATGGTTTATGAAATATATCTTAATAATAAAAAAGTAGAAACACACAGTAAACAGATCTCTGGAAAGGAAAACTAGGCCATTTAAGGCCGATATCACCTAAGGTCACCTTGGTAACACTCTTCAGCATTTCAAACGGTCTTTGTACTAGTGGACAATCCCCCAGCTAAGCCGATTCATGAGAGGATTTGCTTCTCACAAGCAATGTATAGAGAACACTTTCAAGTTTTAAGGTCTCTTATGCAAACAGCTTTCTTAGAAAGAGACTTCCATTATTGTTGCTACAATTTAGGGCAAATATAAAGCAAGAGACAGATGGAAAAAAAGAGGGAGCTTGGTGCCTCATGACTTCTTACACATCCCTCCTTATCTTTAAGGAAAATTTGAGAGTAAGACCAAGGATTGCACACACAGAGAGGGACATGTTATTAGTCTTATTAGGAATTCTAAAGGCATACACAGTGTCCCAACTCCTGTCATATTAATATGCACTATTCCACAGCCCCAGAATCAGAAAATCAAGATCAGGAAGGAGTCCTCTGGAGGGCAAAGAGGAACAATCCTAAACCCCAAACCAAAAGCACTAAGGGTAATAATAACAGTATCAGCCTTCCCTCAACAACAGGCCTTGAAAGTCTGATTTAGCATGAATTTTAATTCTGTACCAAAAAATATTTAAGAGGGAAGAAAACAGCTCCTTCTGTTCATCGAAAATCCCATGTCCATTCTCAGACCTGGGACAAGATTTGCTTCACCATTTCCCCCCTGTGGTAGCCTCTAGAAAATAGGCCTACAAATAGCTATTTGTGAAAGCACCTGGGTAGTGCCTAGAGTTCCATCAATGTTAATTCCCTTTTTTCATAACTTCCTTTATTCCTTCCTCTCTCCTCCTCCCCTGCTGTCTTTTTCACTGCACTATAGTTTTCATAGAACGTACAGAATATTAAGTATAGAAAGGGGACCTTAGGGTAAACAGATTTTTTTTTCTCCCAAGGAGAAAAGTATAAGGTTGTATCCATGAAAACTAAAAAGTGAACTTTATCCCTTTATGTTAAAAAAATAATAAAGCATATAAAAAAGCAGTTACAAGTGATCTCAAGTGACTGCCAGATGATGGTATTATTTAGACTATCAAGTACAATGCCAAAAATGAATGCCATTTGCTATTTCATAAAACAGCCCATATAATTACATATGTATGATTACAGTCTCCCACAGACTGTACTCTCCTGAATTAGATCCATTTGTACACAGGCTGATGAATAAGTGCCTGACTACATTTAATATAAATTTGTCTTTATGAAAATTCTAAGCTGCAATTCTTAAATATAGAACTACAGAAATACTTTGATTCCTTTAGGGTATCTGAAGAAGCGAAAAAATGGTTCTCTCTCTTAAAGTACATCTTTGGGAAAAACAGTAACTTCAGGAAGGTATGTAATAGGACACTGTACCTGTTTCATAAAAATGCGATAAGAGGTCCTCTTTTTCAATAAAACGTTGATAGAGCCAATCAGAAAGCTCCTCAGTCTCCAGGGGTACATCCTTAATTGGAAAGATCCTAGTTAAGAAAAAAAGAACAAAAACTACTTTAATTCAGAAGTCAAAAACTTTTTACTGAGTTTTTATTTCATCTATCATATTTTTTAATTTCTACAAGCTGAGTGTTCCTTTTTTTTATAGTATGCTATTACTGTTTCATTGTCATAATATCGTATCTCTACAAGTATTACAATGGAAAATTTAAAACATGCACAAATGTAGAGAAGAGGGTTAATGAACTCCCATGTGCTGTTAGGATTTTTGGAAGCTGTTCTTTCCCTGTACAGTCTCTGTTCTTCAGTGTCACCATCTTATGTTTGTTTTTGTCTCCATCTTTCACAATAGAGGCTGATTAGCTTACCAGTTACCTGGTAATTCTTTGTTGCTCACTCAACATTTACAGATGTGGGACCTCAAAGTTGAATGAATGCCCTCAGCATAGGAATAAAGTTTGTTGACTGTGAACTTGACTGAGGACTGTCTGGCTGGGCCAGTTAAGTTGGTTTCTCCTCTTGAACTCACCATTTCCCCTAAGAAAGATTGTTTAATGTTTGCCTACTGAGTAAAGGCCTGATTGCTAGCTTTCTGGCAGCAGAGTGAGGTACCAGGGCTAAGAGTCTAAGCACGCAGCACACTTACCTCACTGAACCATGCTATTTTCAGTAAGGGACCTCTGCCCGTGTTCCCGAGTCCAGAGAGCCTCATTTCTCTCTCCAGAGTAAACCTCTGGTATTTGCCAGGGTAGGGAAAGAGGAATCACCCAGCTGTGGGATGCAGGGTAGAGGTTCTGGGGATCTGAGCTCTCCCTAAACAGATTTCTACCAGCCTGCCCAAGTTCAGCAACCCTTTCAACCCCAAGTCCACAGGTACTGATGCTGCCAGCCTTTCGGTGGTTCTGTGGTATAATTAGGCTCTCGGCTTCCCCCTCAGCTGGCTTAGGGTTCTGTTATTTATCGCTCCATCTGTTTTTCAACTTCCCAAGTACTGTTGCTATTGTCTTTCCTACTGTTCTCCCAATCCTTGATGGTCTACACCTTAAAAACCTCCTCAGTGTTCTTCTACTGGGGTTTTGGAAGGGCATAAAAGTAGACATGAATCCACCATCTTTTTTGAGAAGCTGTCTTGCTATTTCTGAAAAGTCTAAGATGATTTTCTGTCTTTGGCCAGTACCTACCACCTGCCATTCTATGAAGGGTCTATATTGCTATTTCATGCTTAGGCCAAATGTAAGTTACATAGTAAGGATTTAAAAAATATAATGATGATGATGCATACAATCATAAAAACACTAAGCAATCCTATAGTTTATCAGTAGAACAGCGTCTGGGCCAGTCAAATAACACAAAGGATTCCAAATGACCAAAATGACTATGCTCAGACTCTTCCAGAGGCTTTTAAAAAAATTACTCATGTAACATGATCATTTGCACACAACTTTAAAAAAAACAGAAGGAAAATTATTTATGAATCAGATTCCTTTCTCTTGTTATTTCAACATTTAAATACCAGATTGGGGGTATTTTAACAACCTAATTTAAGTATCAGTGGACAGAAAAAAGGAGAGAAAAAAAAGAAAGTAGTATGGTATGAAAAAAATCTATTAAAAATCAATTTCAAGAAATCACAGACTTGATTAAAAATTTTGCTTTCAAAAGTTTGAAAAAAATTAAAGGTAACCAAAGTATAGTTTTATTTACACAGAAAATAACTTTCCCATCCTTAGTCATCTTTCCATTCTCCAAAATATAGTACTACATTGTTATAGAGCAGGAATAGAGGTGTTTTGGCCTAACATATTTTAATGGGGTAGGAGAAGCTAAGGTCCTGAAACTTCAAGTGTCAGCTTGCTACCACACAGCCCCTTCTCAGGGTTAAATTTTCCCTTGCTCTGAAAGAGCAAACAAACAAAGAGATGAGTTAAAGAATGTCATCACTTTTAAAAAGAGAAAAAATACTGGAAATGCTTATACTACATAAAATCATCCCATAGGCTAGTATTTCTTAACCCTTTTAATGACTATTCTCCTAAGTAATTGAAAGATCTCTTTTATACTAAACATTTTATGTTTGCCTGCTCTCATATGCCTCCCCTGAGTGAGTGTGTGGGACTCCCTGGCTGAGATTCCCTTCCACAAACAGTGGGGGTTTTTGGTTTTTATTACACGTTGAGTCTGCTTTTTAGGCACAATTAAAACAATCCCAGAAGGTAGTGTGGCATAGTGTTTATGAGGGTAGACTCTGGAACAGACTGCCTGGGGTTGAATTCTGGCTCTACCACTTGCCAGCTGTGTGACCTTGGGAAAATTGTTGAACCTCTGTATGACTTAGTTCCCTCATCTATCATGTACATGAAGTCCTACAGAATTTAGTCATTAGGCCAAACATTTCTATGGAAAAATGTTCTCAGTGTTCACCACACAATGCTAAGTTCACATTTCCTCACCCTGCAAAAAGCCAAACTCCTTGTCTCAAGCCATCTCCACGTAGGGTGGGTTTGAGTTTGTAGTGATGTCCCCTTTTTCATTCCTGATACTGGTTACATGGGCCTTCTTTTTTTTCCTGATCAGTCTTGCCAGCAGTTGATCTATTTTACAGTGTTAAAAAGAACCAACAATTTTTTTGATGTTACTCTTTCTACCATATTTTTTCTATTTCAACAAATTCTCCTTTATTATTCCCTGTCTTCTACTATCTTTGTATTTCACAGAATTTTCTTTTTCTTAATTCTTGAGATAGATATTTAGATCACAGAGTTTCAGTTTTCTTCTTTTCTAATAGAAGCTTTTTAAGGCTATACATTTTCCTCTAAACACAGATTAAGCTTTAGTCCATAGTTTTATAGATCATATTTTCATTATCATTCTGTTAAAAATATTTTCTAATTTCATAATATATCATAAACATTCAATTCTTCTTATTCACTGCTGATAGACAGTCTCTTGTCTTTTGTTATTATAAGCTATGTGGCAATGAGTAACACTGGGCAAATGTCCAGTTCATATGTGTACAAGTGTATCTACAGGATAAAATTCCGGAAGTAAAATTGTTAAGTCAAAGGTTAAATGCATTAGCAATTTTCAAAGACGTTGCTACGTCGTCTTCCTAAAGATAGACAATTTATATTCCCACCAGCAACTTATGAGAATGCCTCTTGCAAAAAGGTTTTTAAACTGGAGAGTAGTGAAGTCAGCGGGCTCTGATTTAGGAGTTCAGGATGGCTAGCAGTGCTTCACAACTGGGATAGGTCGATTGAGGGACATATTCTTGGGGATCCATGGTTGAGTTCTCTGTAAGACTAGGTATCTTGTGTTTTCATTTAAATATTAATCTTAATAAAAATATTCTGAATCATACAGATAAACATCTTATAACCAAGTACTGCCACGTGATCTCAGTGCTTCTGTTCATGGTCATTTTAGCACAATGCAATACATCAAAAGTTAATGCCAGAAAAGTGAACATGGCCTACTTAAGAGCAAAGTCTATTCTTTCACCTCTAAATCTGAGATTTAGCTTAAACTTTCCCTGTGACTTTTAATATCCATTAAAATAAAATAAGAGGGGTTCTGCTCCTTGTGACTGCAGAACAGTTTACAGGTGACAGTTATAAATTCTGGACAAAACACAAGAAGTAATTAGCAGAAGGTACTGGAGAGAGACTAAAAGCAGGCAGGTATTAGAGTCAACACTTGGAAGACGGGAATAGCACTGGGTGAGACTGACATTTTTTACAGCTTTTTACCTAAGAATTGTTTCCAGTTAGCGCGAGGCAAGGAAGCTAAAGGTTATAGAGAAACAAGTTGTCTTACTGGCTGAAGGATCGACCACAGCACTTGGAAAGTGAGGAATCCCAAAAAGAAGCAAACAATGGGAGCCAAGACTTCTGAATCCAAACCCACCCAAATCTCTGGATGACCCCCGAACTGTTGTGGGGCAGAGTCCAAGCAGAATAGAGCCCTACAATTCTTGCTGTTGTAAATCCTTACCCAAGGATATTTTTCCATTGCTTTTCAGAGAGAGAGAGAAGGGAAGGAGGGAGGGAAGAAGGGGGAGGGAGAGACACACAGAGAGAGACCGATGTGAGAGAGACACATGGATTGGTTGCCTCCCACATGCGCCTGACTGGGGTAGGGAGAACCAGCAACCCAGGTCCGTGCCTCTGACCAGGAGTCAAATCCATGACCCTTCAGTTTGTGGGACAACGCTCTAACCACTGGGCCAAACCAGCCAGGGCAAGCCCCACAATTCTTAGTTCCAGCACAAGGGAGGTGCCCAGAGTTGCACAGGAAATTTAACTACTCAGGAAATTCAGTCATTTGTTTTGTTTTATTTTCTCCATATTAAATGTCCTTAAATATTTAGATTCTTAGGAAAATTGAAGGAATGTTTTAAAATTAAAAATTAAAATTTAAAAATCAGAGTTAATTTTTTTAAGTAAATGGAATTACAAATTATTTTTATTTTTAGATCATTTAATATGTCTTAACACAATTTTGCAATATAAGTAGCACTTTTTAAACTATTCACATCTACCACACTGAGTAGCAACATTTGGAGAATTATTTGCATTATTTTTTTGACCTCTAAAAATATACTATTTTTGTAAATATAAAATCAGGCCTTATCAACCTAAGGATAATTTAGCAAGAGCCTTAGGGCTAAAGAATATCTTGAAATAGTATTTAAAACATCTTTATAAGGAGAAAAATTACATGAAAAGTACGGCTGAATTAAACAGAAGTTTATGTTTACCAAGTGAATTCTTGAAGAACATGGTGAGGTTGGTGAAGTATCTATGGCTTTAAATGGGGGAGAGTGTGGGAGTGGGGCTATGTTTTAACAGAAATTCTACCCCACCATCTGCCTAGAATAGCTTGGACATTTTCTGCCTTAGGAAACAGCCAGAAGGGCAGACCAAATGCTCCCTCCAAAGCAATCTACTGACTGTTTAGTCACGGTGGGATTAAAATATTAAAATGACTAATCATCCCCTAATATGGCAAAGTATCAAATGCACTG